ATTTACTTAAAATAATATTATTAATAAGATAATAAAAAAAAAAAAAGAATGCAAATAAAAATTTTAAGTTACATTTTTTTTTCTGTTTCAGTAAACAGCAGAGCACCCAGCAGAGGTACTATTCTATACTGATGCACACAATTAATAAGGTCGGGGATACAGTGTTAATTTTGCTATGTACATCATTCCCCCCTTTCCCAGGCGGAGGCAAGTTTAAATTTGGCTCCTTTTTGCATGCTTTGTGAAAGCCCGGTGCATATTAACACTGTAAAGTTATGACCAACAACTGCGTTTTATAAAATTATTTTTGACATTTCAATATATACATCCTTTCAGTCCGTTCCTGTTTTCTTTTAACAATGCTAAAAAAAAAAATTACAAGCTTATAGTAACTTTAAACTGTAATATCCAGTCAAATGTGTCCATATATATGGATTTATCAGCGTCCTGTGACTGATAATACATTCAAAGAAGTGGCTGTAGGCCATCCCTTGAAAACAAGACACATTTCATTTTTTTTTTTTGCACTTTGCTTTCCTTTCGGTTCCTCACTTTTTTAGTGTCCAGATAGGTAAAGTCTTTGTAGAAAGGATGGTTCCCATAAGGTATATTTACACATGCACATTGTATATATCAGACAGGCCTGTCCACAGCATACTGGCACGCACTGAGATTTGATCCTGGGTTCTGAACACTAGCATATCCAAAACTAGAGTGCTGTTTGGCTTTGAGTCTAAGGCTTGCCAGGCTGGAGTTACATGTGTCCCTGTAGACATAGGGGGGTGTTGGAGGGGCATAGGGGCAGGCTGACGTTGGCACGGCTGAATTCAGAGAGGGGTTGCTCAAGTTGTTCAGATTATTCAAGCTGTTGAGACTGGAGCCTGGCACCCCAGTGACTGCAGAGGGCACCATGCTGGAGGACATGCTCATGGAGGAGATGGAGTTGGGTGAGGAGAACATGCTCTGTGAGGACAGGGGGTTGACATTCATAGAGTTGAAGAAAGGGAAGCTCTTGGTGGAGAGAGAAGCCGAAGTCAACCCTTTGGCTGCCCAGTTGTTGTAGGAGTAGCTTGGGTACATGTCTTCGTAGGGTTGCATGAGCCCATTGAACTGAGGCCCAAAGCCATTCTTACACAGCTCAGCCTGCTGGTTCCTCTCCCTCTTTCTCCATTTAGCTCTGCGGTTCTTGAACCAAACCTGCAAGCAAAGAGAAAAGCAGGTCAGCAGGGTCACATACATGTAACACCAAAGACTCGTGCAAAACATGGACCATCTGCATGCTGATACACAGAGCTGCCACCCCGTATTAAATCACAGTACATAAAAATCTGTCACACTACTCATGTTGCTGAGTGTGACAGCAGAGCTACAGGTCACTGTGAGAGGCCTTCTCATAAATCAGAACAGCATATGAAGATTATCAGACCTACCATTCAGTAAAATGTCCACATAGACCTACAAAATGCAGTTTTATTTTAACCAACATGCAACGTAATTGAATATTAAGGGAGTCTGCACATTACAGCATGCCCAATGCCAAGGTATACTGAGATTAGAACAATAGCAGCTGCCCGTCCAAAGATCTTAGCACCTGGCATTGCACATCCTGACTGTGGGTACATTTGTCGTGACCACACCAATACATGATCAGACTGTTGCAACACTTTGATGCAATTGATTGCATTATACCACCGCACATGTCTATCAATTAATTCTGTAATTCAAATTTAAGAAAAACTATCCCCTGAACCTGTTCGGGCACTTGAAGTGGATACCGGGTAGAGTAGAATAATGAGGCTGATTTACTAAGCAGTTGAGAATCTTCGCACAGTAATTTGTGTAAATATTCACTTCAATTATCCAATCATGGGAAAAGCAAATTCCTATTTACCTATTTCATCTGCACATGACTGTATAGTTGAAGAGAATGTTTGCATTTTTCTTGTTTGAACATTCTCAACTCCCTTAGTAAATCAGCCCCAGCATGTTAACAAATCTAAAGTAAATCAACACACCATGCAAAGTTATATAGATACTGTCCGCACATCTCTGAAGATCATTTACTAAAGGGGCCATTTTAACTTTAATCTTGCAAGACATTGTTAGCTGCAAACGCTTAAAACAAAAAAAGAAATGATGGCAGACAACACAACGTCAGTGGCCTATGAAGACAATTAATAATTTAGCAATTCGCACGATTAATTGCACTTATATGGCTTATTTATGAAACATTTATTAGACTTTAGTCCTCGATTTTCTTCCGTTGTCTATTTTATTCCTTTTAGTGCGATTGGAGATGAAGTGAAAACTGTGAATATTGCAGTATATTAGAGCTATAATGTATCCCCCCTTTGCACAAGCCTTCCATAAAGAATACATGTCTCCCTGTAAAATAAAAACTTACGGGGCTATTCACAAAAGGGTGAAGAGATTGGAGAAGGCAGGAGAAGTGAACAATCTAGGACAACGAACATAGCTGATATGGAAAAACTCTCCAATTCAGCTATTTTGTCCTAGATTGTTCACTTCTCCTGCCTTATCCAAACTCTTCACCCTTTTGTGAATAACCCCCTTAGTCATTTTCTGTTTGAGTGAACCGACAGCGCCAAGGCAGCAGAGAGTCGTTATTCAAGTGAATATTAGAACAAATGTTTGCTATGAAAGCTCCAGAGAGTTTCCCCGTGCTAATCTGCAACAACTGAGGACAACTTGTGACCCAACTTGTGCTCCTTGGATGCTTGGAGCTGAATGAAATCCCTTAGCCCTCACTACAGACAATGGAGGAGCGTGGAGAAATGTTCAATCCACATCCTGGGTGTCTGAATTGTCAGCCACCCTCCTGCCGACACAAATTGTGTATTGGAGAAGTCCCTGAGTCTCCCTGTTTACACACATCATGTTGTACATTACAGATCGCTGTTAACTGTACCATTAATCCCCCGCACTCCATTGACAAGAACCACATTAGGCAGCCTTTTAAGATTTCCAAAACGTTGCTAATTTGAGCTGAAGAGATATCAACGACCCACCTAGATAATGCCTGATTCCAATCTACTAAAGCAAATGCCTTGCAAACAGATAAAGCCATAGATTACAGAAATAGAGGCCATTTACTAAATAGACTTGATTAAAAAAAAAAGGTTAACTCTGCAAAGTGAATGTTCACTAATATAGAAAGCCATCAATTAAAATATCCAAGTATAAGGCTAATAAAATAGCACTTTTGTTTGGCGTGATTGGTAATTGAATTTTTATTTCAATTCATAGTTAATCTTGATTGTATTCACTAAGTGAGCATTTATTTTATTCATTCTCTACTTTCATAAATCAACCCTATTTTTATATTGGCCCTGCAAACCCGTTTTTGCAATTTTGCATTGGGCCTGTATTTGCTTTCAATTTCTGTTAAATTCAGCTTGTGTAGTAGTAATCACCACAATTACTCTATATTGTCTGGATATTGTCGCACCTGTATTTTGCATTACATTTCAAGATTTTATAGGGGAGCTGCCATTAGAAAAGGTCCATGCATATATAAAATTATTATTTTGGACCGTTTTTTGGGGAATTTGTAGAATTTCTTTATGGCATCATGAATCTGTAAATAGGTATTTATCTTTTATGGGGCATGTATTATTGTAGGTCTTGAGGAAGGTTACTCATAATATTGTTTCCAAACTTTACAACGATTGCTGTGTTAATATTTGCTGCTACTTTGCCCCCTGAAACAAATGACTTCACCGACAAAGTTTGGCCACGTTGTGTTCAAGGCTGTTTTTATATGTAAGTCGAGTTTTAAGTGCTATAAATCTTATCTTCCCCAAAGCCAGAGATTATGGGCAAGTCCCAGGTTGGGTTTGTTCAGCAAGCCCTTGAAACCAGTCTAGCTCTGCTAAAGTATCATTGGCCAGACATATATTGATATTCCTCTCCCTTTGAACGTGTGTAAGATTACAAATATCAGTTTTAAGCAGTAAAATTCCCATATGGTGGAAGCAATCCAGCCGTTCTCCCCCAAGAGACAACTTAAAGAGAATTTTACATGTCCGAATCCCACATCATTATGAACTTCTGCTGCTGGCACAGATGTTAGCAAACGCTTTAATTACATCTATACAGTATACAGCAGATTTTAGAAACCGAGCCCTGCCTGCTATAACATGGGGTTCATTTTATGTCCTGAGCTGTTGTGATTACCTATATTTATGGCATATTGCTACACATGATTACATATTTTACTGCGTCCAAATGGACATTTAAACCTCTGGAATAGAGTGTTAAAATAACTAGAGGGCACAAGGAAAATGTGGCATCCATTGAAGTGGTTTTAGTACATTCATGCTCATCAAATGCAGCTGTAAATATTAATTTTTTTATGCTATAGGGGAAAATAATATCTTATGTATGTGTGTAATAATATATACACACAGACATATATGTATGTATATATGCACAAATGTATACATGTTATATGTATGTATGTGTGTGTGTATATATATCTATATAGATCTATGTATATATTTAAATATATAAAGTTACATAGTAGGTAAGGTACAAAGGTCCATCTAGTCATCTGTGTGGTGTGTTCGTCTGTATATACTTGGCTCTAGTAGTTCCCATGTGTGTGTATTTACACAATCATTACACAGTCATTGTGCCATTTCTTTCTTTCTTTCTTTCTTTCAGAACATCTTTTATGTTTGCTTCTTTATTTGCACACATGGCATAGGAGTGGGGTATATACTCACACATCTAGTCTATCATCCAGAATAGGTGATTGCCCAGAAGAAGTTGCAAAACGATATTAAAGGCTTGTGCTCTATCTAATAAAAGTGACCATTTAAAACTGACTAAACACAGCATCTGACCCAGAAGTAGTACTTACTCTGACTCTGGCCTCGGTGAGGTTGGTCCACACAGCGATCTCCTCCCTGGTGGACATGTCAGGGTAGCGGTTCCTCTGGAAGGTGGCCTCTAACTCCTGGAGCTGTTGGCTGGTGAAGTGCGTCCTCTGCCTCCTCTGTCTCTTCTTCTTGGAGGGGTCATCAGTGCTGGAATCGTCATTTTTACTTTGGTGATTTTTATCCTTATCTGCAGACACAGAGAGCACATGTGACATTGTGGTTATAATTTCAGTCCCAGCAGTAAAAGAGCGGTGCAAATACAAATGTGAATTAAAGCAAACAGCAGCTAATGAGATTTGCCCTCTTGGCCTGGCGTGGCACCCAGAGGGTTCTCCTACAAATCCTGCAAATCCCCCATAGCTGTGATTAGAAGCCCCCTGGATCCCAGACCAGGGCACAAATGCTACACCGATTTCTGAAAACACAATAACCTGCTCCCCTCACAAAGGTTTGCTTGAATAAATAAACAGCATTGTGCCAGAATATTGCAGGTGCAGTTAGAAATGGCCCTGGTGTCACCCAGCATAGTCAAACAAAGCTCATGGCAGGCTCCTTCTGCACTTTCATTTAGCTGGAGTCATTGTGATGTGTTTATTGCGCCCAGGTAATCCTTACTAATTTATTTCAGCCAATTATCTGCACTGCTGCAGGTTTTTTCCCCCCTTCTTCTACCCTAAGGAGACACAAAGCAGTATACTCTGAGTCAGATCCCTGAGGAGCTGCCATACTCTGAGAATTAGGTAAGTCATTATTTAAGACAAGTTCTAGTAATGAAGGTTATCTATTAATACTGATCAGACTGCGGCGGTAGAGTTGGATGTTGAACAATTGTGATGTCTAAAATAACCAAAGGAGGTTAAAAATACCGGGGTGAGCACATTGGCTATTGCCATGATGGTAAATCAGAGTTATATGTTCCTGTATCTACGTAGTAAAATGTATCAGATTTACAAGCAGAACACAGAAATGATAACAGGTTTGTCATATTTTTGCAGGAGATAAAAAAATGGACATTAGTCCACACATGAGCTAAGGCTGTGTGTGGTCGGGGCCGACTCTTACCTGTAGCTTCTGGACTGGAGGTGTCTGAAATGGTATGGACCTCCAACCGTTGCTTACACTCCACAGAGCGCTGGCCCAGGGAGGAAGCCATAGAGACCAGGGTCACCGCCTGATGATGGGAAGAGGCTGAAGCCAGCTTATTCCCGTTCAAATGATCCAAATGTAAAGGGTCTTTCATAGAGTTCATCGATAAAAGTGTGTGTATTAGAGAGCAGACTTCCAAAAAAAAAAAAATATCAAAGTCAGAGAAGTAAAAAAAAAAAATCTGTGGTGGACAAAAACTCCTTTATAGCTTGCAATGAAATTCAATTCCACTGTGTGTCCAACTGGTGGCACCAGAATCTAGCAGAAGGTCTAAGCGGCGACTGCTGCACAGGCTTGGTGGAATAGCTTCAGCAAGTCACTTGTTAAGTGCAGGCTTAAGGAGCCTTACTTTTAAGTCCTGCTGAGTCCACTATAGTCATTAGGCAGGTATTATTTTCTGCTCCTGCTCCTCTATGCTGCAGGAGACCCTAGAAATCAGGCAGAATGCTTCCTTTAGTGATCTAGCAGGCAGTGCATCTTATAGCTGGGGAGACACATGAGGGCTGCTCTATGAGCTGTCAGTGGGGTGTAACACCTCGGTATTCAGCAGCTTTAGCAGGAGATGCTGGTCCCGTTCTAGTTCAGAGCTGCACTTTCACAAGTGACAATGGAGATTCGGCAAAGGCTCAGTCGCTTCCCTGTTTGACTAACATCTTAAAACCAGAGATTTGTCCTACCCAGATGTGTGACGTCAGCCCCACATTGTTCCCCCCTCCCTTCCCCGCTGCCTGCACACCCAGAGCTGCGCGTCACGGCCAATCACGGGCGCGCTCTGCTCGCCGCACATTGACACAAGCCCAATGGACGGGTCTACCGTAATTATAGACACCAATCCGCCCTAGACCAGGAGACCAGGGCGGGCCTGCAGCGTTGTTTCTTCATACAGAATTGTCAATGCATCCAGGCTGAGCCAAGATAAGGCTATGGGCAAGCTCCCCGAACCAAAAGAGGATTTTCCAGGCAAAGATTTTTTAACCACTGGCGATCTAAGAGATTTGTGACCGACTACTTGGAATGCACGCAGTTAAATACGCCAACTGATCATACATAAGTCATTGCATAGGTCTAACATAGCACAACACATCACTGGTCAACCCGTGCAAGCTTTACATCTTTGAATATAGTCAGTTTGGGAAAATTGAACTGAATAACTATTAATATTGATTTAATATTAATAGTTAAGGCTTTGTGATTTGTCTGCCATTCGTTGCCTCTCCCCCTAACTTATTATTTGACATTGACAGGACCTGGAAAAAGTACTGCAATGAAGATCTTCATCAAGACATGTCAAAATTATTAAAGGAGACGCCAACCTATTCTTTCTTTCTTTCTTCTATTTATTTATCTTATGTAGTATTCTATCATCTATCTATCTATCTATCTATCTATCTATCTATCTATCTATCTATCTATCGCTATCTATTATCTCTATCTATCTATCTATCTATCTATCTATCTATCTATCTATCTATCT